TTCCAGTTGTCAATGGGGTTCCCCGCTGACAGCTGAATGCAAAAAGAATTGTCGGCATTGCCTGACAATTAAAAAAAAATTAAATGGTGTGGGGTCCCCCCCCTCCCATCCTTACCAAGCCCTTTGGGTCTGTTATAGATTTTGAGGGGAACCCCCATGCTAAAAAGTATTTTTTAAAAATCCATACCAGACCCTTATCTGAGCATGCAGCCTGGCAGGTCAGGAGCAAGAGGGCCCCCCCCCACCGAACCATACCAGGCCACATGCCCTCAACATGGGGGAGTGCTTTGATGGGAATGGGGACAAGGCCCTACAACCGTGCCCTGCTGTTGTAGGGGTCTGTGGGCAGGAGGATTATTGGAATCTGTAAGCCCCCTTTAACAAGGCCCCCCCCCCCCTCTCCAAGTGAATGAGTATGTGGTACCTATTCACAAAAGAATAAAAAAAGTGTAGTATAAAAAAAAAAAAAAAAAAAAGACAGGACACAGTCTTTGACAAGTTCTTTATTAAAAATAAAATGTCAGGTTTCTGCGATGTAAAAAAAATGAGACAAAGATAAATAATTTCAGAACTTTTTCCACATTTAATGTGATCTATAAACCATACAACTCACTTAAAAAACAAACTGAAAATCTTTTTTGGAGGGGGGAGTAAACATAAAAATCTAAAATAATGTGGTTGCATAAGTGTGCACACCCTTTTATAACTGAGGATGTAGCTGTGTTCAGAATTAAGCAATCACATTCAAAATGACATTAAATAGGAGTCAGTACACACCCGCCATCAATTAAAGTGCCTCTGATTAACCCCAAATAAAGTTCAGTTGTTCTAGTCGGTCTTTCCTGACAGTTTCTTAGTCGCATCCTACAGCAAAAGCCATGGTCCGCAGAGAGCTTCCAAAGCATCTGTAAGGGACCGCCCGGCGGTACCTCTAGCACTCCACTGGTCAGGTGCTTCCAGAGTGCGGAATCTAAGTCCCGGAGCACTTGTTCACCAGGTCCCCTGATGGTGGGGATGGACTTGGAGCGCACCGAGACCAGGTCGCGACTACTGGGCACCCTTACCAATGGTAGAGGCGTCTGCCGAGGGCTCTCGCAGAGTAAGAGCCTGATATGAGGAGGTCGGGCGATCCCGACGGGATGGATGGCTGAGCAGGTGCAGGGTCAAACGAGCAGAGTCAGGAGCCGTGGGGTCTGAGAGGTACAAAACAGCGGGCAGAGAATAGTTGGGTCACACGCCAGGTCAGCAACAGTAGATCAGAACAAACTGGGGGCATCCAGGAGAGAGGTCAGGCAAGCCAAGGGTCAGGGCGGGAGAGTACAGCAATGTCAGAAGCAATCCGGGTCAGCAACTTATCAGAACACAGATCAGGGAACAGGAAAGACCAAACGGCCACCAGTGACAGCTCAGGGGGATTTAAATATCACGCCCTGTGCTGTCATTGGTGCCAGGCGCGCGCCCGTGGACCCTAGTGCGCATGCGCGAGTTCGTCGCCGCGGCCAGCCTGGACCTAGTGCCCGTATCCCCGTGCAGGGCGGCGCACTGCGCCGGGACCAGCGCCGTGGCGATCCCTGACAGCATCACAGGGATCTCACTGTTAACGGTTTTTCAGCCAGGAGAAGGGTACAAAAGAATTTCCAAGGTATTAGATGTACCAAAGAACACAGTGAGGACAGTCATCAAGTGGAGAAAATATGGCGCAACAGTGACATCACCAACAGTGACATGACCAAGAACAGGACGTCCCTCCAAAATGGAGGAAAAGACGAGACGAAAACTAGCCACTCTCTTTTAAAAGAAAGGGAATTTCCCCCCTGAGAAAAACGGTACCAGGATCACGGTTGTAGCTGCAACCCTGATCTCGGTACAATAACCTCCATACAAGGCCATACAGATCCGTACGGCGGCACTGAGTCGGTCAATGTACAGACGGGAGCAGAAAAAGAAACGATTCGCAGGCACTATGGGGCACTTCCGCAGTATTGATGGTGAAGGAGCTTTTTTGGGTTTATGCCAGGTACAGAAGTATGACGGATGTTTTGATACAATTTCCATCATGTTTTTAACCACTTCCAGTCCGGACGCTCCCCCCCCCCCCTTCCAGTCCAGACGCTCCCCCCCCCCCCCTTCCAGAGTCCAGACGCACCCCCCCCCCCCTTCCGGTCCAGACGCACCCCCCCCCCTTCACCCCCCCCCAGTCCGGACGCTTCCCCCCCCCCCCCTTCCAGTCCGGACGCTTCCCCCCCCCCCCCTTCCAGTCCGGACGCTTCCCCCCCCCCCCTTCCAGTCCGGACGCTTCCCCCCCCCCCCCCTTCCTATCCAGGCCAATTTTCAGCTTTCAGCACTATCACACTTTGAATGACAATTGCGCAGTCATGCAACACTGTACCCAAAATGAATTTTTTACAATTGTTTTGAGACAGATAAAGCTTTATTTTGGTGGTATTTATTCACCGCTGGGATTTTTATTTTTTTTGCTATGTAAATGAAAAAGTCCAAAAATTTTGAAAAGAAGTGTTTTTTTATAACATTTTGCAAATAAATAATATTTCATCATAAATCTTTGCCGAAATGTATTCTGTTATCTTTTTAGTAAAAAAAAAAAAAATCCAAAATTAGTTTATAACCAAAAATTATAATTTTTAAACATTTTTTATTTTATTTTTTTATATTCTTATTTTTTTTTTACATACTGTCACCCTAGCAGTACAGTGTCACCATGGTGACACTGTACTACTCGTGGGGGGGGTGATGAAGATTTTTTTTTTTTTTTTTTTTTTTTACAATGATTGCTTTTACACCCATATAGGATGTAAAAGCAATCATTTCTCTTTTTCTCGGTCTGCATTCTTGCAGTCATTGAGAAGTACTGAGTGAGCTGTGATTGGTCACAGCTTGTCACATGGTACAAGGCTGTTGTGAATAGCCCTGTACCATGTGACCTCTGTGATCATTCACAGATTTCACACGTAGTAAGCAACGATGTCACAAGTGACATCTTGCTTACTACTTTGCATGTGATCACTGATTGGCCAATCAGTGATCACATGATCGGGACCTCGTACAGAAGTCCCGTCCGACGATCGGTGTTTCACTGTGTCCGGAGGACACAGCGGGCACCGGATCGCGGTGCTGCGCGCTCCCAGGGAGCGCGCACAAGCAGTGCGGGGGGAGGCCGTTTATAAATGGCCACCCAACCCTGCAGTGCCACCGTCCGGCCGTTTATATGCAACGGCCGGTCGGGGAAGTGGTTAAAATCACAATCTACCAACGATCATCTGACAGCACATTGGCCAATCTCCTGTTTCACTAACAAAAAAAAAATCAAAAAGACAATAAAGGCATTTAAGAGGACCAAAGAAACACAGCGCCTCTAAGTGTGTACTGTGAAGGTATTTAATAGAAAGAGAAGTAGTAACTCACATCTTAGAATTTAAAAACAGGCTCATGGGTGAGAGGGTGAGACGTCTGTAGCCAGATGTGTGACTGATCCAGAGAGGAGATCGATTGAGTCCGCCAGCAGGTGGTGCTGTACATGTGCAACGTGGATGGTAAGCCTGGCGGAATCTCCAAGGTGTCTACCAGCAGATGGTGCTGTGCATATGCAGCATCCATTGTGAAGCCTGGCAGAGTCTCCAAGATGTCCGGGATCAGCACATATGGCATCTGACGTCATCAAAATGCGATGCGTTTCTGAGCATGTGGAGGACGAGATGAGTCTAGGCGCGCGCTTTCATCAGGCAGGCTGATACCAGACATCTTGGAGACTCTGCCAGGCTCCACCATCTATGCTGTATATGCACAGCACCATCTGCTGGCAGACACCTTGAAGATTCCACCAGGCTCACCATCCATGTTGCACATGCACAGCACCTCCTGCTGACAGACTCAATCTCCTCTCTGGATCAGACACACACAACACATCTGGCTACAGACGTCTCACCCTCTCACCCATGAGCCTGTTTTTAAATTCTAAGATGTGAGTTACTACTTCTCTTTCTATTAAATACCTTCACAGTACACTTAGAGGCGCTGAGTTTCTTTTTGTTTTCCCTTCTGCAGAGTTATGCTTCGCTCCTACGCAGCTTGCCCTTAGTGCCTACTGGACTACCTTCACCCCCCCATTTGGAACTCATCAAACATACATGGACTGCCACACCATGCGCCTGGTATCCCTTTTGCACTTAAGGTGACCACCTGACATTGCCATTCATCCCGTAAAGAGCTGAGGTTCTGATGGCTCCATACCAAACATCCAAGCTGATGAACACCATGAATCCAGGAATACATTAAAAGTCACTGGATACAAAGAAAAACAAACAGAGGATGCGCCGGCCTAGTGAACTAGTAGAAAATGTATTGGAAGGATAAAAAGTATCGTACTCACAATAGGCAAACAGGCACATCACAGACAGGTGGCTCTGAGGAAGAGGTTGGGACCTCGAAACGCGTTAGCCTGTTGGAAGTCCAAGGTTCCATTTTTTGGCCTTATATGCAGTGTGGACTGGACACCGCTGTTTAGTGTGATGTGCCTTTGACCCGTTTGCCTGTTGTGAGTACAATACTTACTTTTTATCCTTCCAATACATTTTTTTACAATAACGCACTAGGCCGGTGCTCCCTCTGTTTTTGTTTTTCTTTGTATCCGGTGACATTGGACTACCCCGGTCCATTGAGAAGAGCAAGGAGTGCATTTTCCAGGATATCTGTGATGTTACCATAACCCAAGTCCATCCCGAAGCGCAGGAGTTCAGAGTTTGCTGTGTATACATTGAAAGTCACATGTTTATCTGTGGTCCACATGGATCTGGAGAACAAGTCAATGTCCATCTAGTCCCAGTTAAAGTGTTCTTGAAGCAGGAACCAACCATCTCTCCCAAGGACCGGAACATCATCTTGACCATCTGTCCTACCTCTTGAGGGTCACTAGACATTGCAACCAGGAACTTCACCGAATGTCCTGTGTGGACATAGACTGGAGGCCAAGTCACCAAAGGCGTCTATGACTTGGCCAGCTTAAGAGCTCTCTCTAGTTCCTGCACCTGCTGCTGTCCTTGTGTGATCATCATCCGTATGGTGACCTGAAGGGGCAGAGAAAACACAAGACAAACAGGCTCATTACTATCGGAATTCATGGACTTGTCTTTATATTGGATGGAGAATGGAACGGTTAAAACCCCTGCCCCATTGGGGAGACTTCCCATCACCTCCTGTACTGTAGACACAACTCCCGTTTTCTTTTTGTTTTTTTCAACGGTTTTTATTCATTTTAAAAATTTTAACCACTTGCCGTCCGGCCGCTCTATATAAACGGCAGGACGGTGGCAGTCCAGGGGCAGTTGCCGTTCATAAACGGAGCCTGCATTTTCAAGCTGTGCACGCTCCCTGGGGGCGCAAAGCAGTGTGATCCAGTGCCCACTGTGTCCTCCGGACACAGTGTAACACCGATCGTCGTACGGGACCTCTGTACGAGGTCCCAATCATGTGATCACTGATTGGCCAATCAGTGATCACATGCAGAGTAGTAAGCAAGATGTCACTTCTGACATCATTGCTTACTACGTGTGAAATCTGTGAATGATCACAGAGGTCACATGGTACAGGGCTATTCACAACAGCCTTGTACCATGTGACAAGCTGTGACCAATCACAGCTCTCACAGTATTTCTCAATGGCTGCAAGAATGCAGCCAGAGAGAAGGAGAAATGATTGCTTTTACAGCCTTTATGGGTGTAAAAGCAATCAGTGTAAAAAATAAATAAAATCTTCATCACCCCCCACAAGTAGTACAGTATCACCATGGTGCCACCGTACTGCTAGGGTGACAGTATGTAAAAAAAAAAAAAAAAAAAATAATAATATTATAAAAAAATAAAAATAAAAATGTAAAAAAAATTATAATTTTTGGTTATAAACTAAATTTGGGTTATCTTTTTTTCTAAAAAGATAAAACTGAATAATTTTGGCCAAGATTTATGATGAAATATTATTTACCCCCCCCCCCCCCCACAAAAAAAAAAAAAAAAAAACACAGCTTACTATACTTCAGTTATAAATGAACGCAGTGAGTGATCGGTACTGATCATTCACTGTGTTCATTCAGGAAAGGAAGGGGCTGGTAAATGGGACATATTTACTGGAACCTTCCCCCGCTCTCCATCCTAAAGGATCCTATTTTCCTAGTGCCTGCAGCTGCCGGTGGAAAGGAGGGAAGCTGACAGCACTGTGGGGGTGGGGGCACACAGGGGGGCCTGGGCAGCAGGGGGAAACATATGGTGCACAGGGAGGGTGATGGGGGGAAATTACTGGAACCGATCCCCTGTATGGGTCTCTCTGCAGCAGCTGAAAGCCGACGGGAGGGAGAGGAGAATGTCAGCTTTCAGGGATCGACCCATACAGGGGATTCCAGTAATCGCCCCTCCGCTGGTCTGATCAACCTCCCAGCGTACATCCAATTCCCCCAGCTGCCTGGGCCTCCCTGCTGGCCTGGGTCCCCTATTGGAGGACTGGTGGTACCCCCTTATCCACGGCCCTGACTGAAGCACTGGGATGAAGCCATCAAAGAACATAGGAAGCCCTCTCGGCTGTCCCCCTCACCTCATCAGTGGCCGTCTGATTCCTGCGGAACTCCCCTCGGGCCCAGTCCTTCATATAGTGCCGGTCAGCGGGGTCTGGGATCTGATCACCCAGCTGCCTGGGCCCCTTATTGGAGGACTGGTGGTACCCCCTTATCCACGGCCCTGACTGAAGCACTGGGATGAAGCCATCAAAGAACATAGGAAGCCCTCTTGGCTGCCCCCCCCCCCCTCACCTCATCAGTGGCCGTCTGATTCCTGCGGAACTCCCCTCGGGCCCAGTCCTTCATATAGTGCTGGTCAGCTGGATCTGGGATCTGATTCACCCAGCTGCCTGGGCCCCCTATTGGAGGACTGGTGGTACCCCCTTATCCACGGCCCTGACTGAAGCACTGGATGAAGCCATCAAAGAACATAGGAAGCCCTCTCGGCTGTCCCCCCCCCCCCTCACCTCATCAGTGGCCGTCTGATTCCTGCGGAACTCCCCTCGAGCCCAGTCCTTCATATAGCGCCGGTCAGCGGGGTCTGGGATCTGCCGCACACCTCGAAGGATCCTCCGGTAAAGACTGAGAACCTGCTGCCTGAGGAGGAACTGAGGAGACAAATTTCAAACAGGGATTAGACTTCCTGTAGCTTCCAATACACCCGCTGGGGTAAAGAGTGTACCTGCTCTGTCTGGAGGTCACCAATACCTATAAAAGAGGGCTCCCCAGCCTCGTACATCAACCACGACACCATTTATTTCCACGATAAAAAGAGGCGATAGACTCACAAACGGTCATCAACTAAAGTCTCGTCATATATCTCCAAAAGTAACGACCAATGTGCACGCCTCCAGATGGACTGGGAAGATGGTGACGAGTTTCGAGGAGTGCCCGCTCTTCTTCAGAGTCGAATCGCCTATTTTTACTTCGGAAATAAATGGCGTCTTGGTTGATGCACACGGCTGGTGCGCCCTCGCTTGTCTTTTCCCATGCAGTGCTCGCAGGTACCCCAGTCTGAGGAGGCCAGCAAGGCTTGGTGGACACCAGAAGGCTGAGACCACGTCCATGGACCTGAGATACCTGAAGCAGGAAGAGTCTTCCTACATTACTGGTTACACACTCGAGCACGGAAGATTTATGGTGGTTTGTTGTCACCAAACATAATAGATCCGGTAAAGTCGGCCACAACTGGACTTGTCCTGTAACGTGAAGATATCTTGTAGCTTCTCCAAGCCACTTCTTTGGTTCTAATGAGTGCCGGGAACATCCCCCCGGTATTTATATCCACACAGGTATCATGGGCACCTTAATCCCATCATAATAGAATGTGTCAAGGCAGATGCTGATTGTCCATGAACAGGGCGGGTGGGATTGTTCCATTTGTAGAAAATCAACATCTGTGGTGGCACATTCAATAACAATTGGATCAAAGTGACACTAAATTATATTCTCCCTATTCTTCACAAATAATCCAAACACATCCACTGCTTAATGGCCCTGTAATCTGTATGTCATGAAATAGTGTCTTCCTGGGTTTTATGTCCCCTTGTAATGTCCTCTATGAGCTCCCAAACCTCTCCTTTTCTTCATAACTTTTGTTTGTTTGGAACAAGCAGTTCACGTTGATATCATGTGCACTGCTCTATGCACACTACAAGCCCACAGTGCAGAGCACACAGTAACCCATAGTCAATAGCCCACAAGCCATAATCCATAGTCAATAGCCCACAGCCCTCAACCCATCTTGAGAGTGAGGAAGAGAAGTTGGATATGTTTCTACACACAGTGGGAACACGGAGAATGATCACAATCATCAAGCCCACAGTCCATAGCCCTTTGCCCATAAACCATCGCCCATGGTCCACAGCCCACAGTTCACAGCCAACAGTCCACAGTTCACAGCCCACAAGCCATAATCTATAGCCCACAAGTCCATAGCCCACAACCCAACTTGAGAGTGAGGAAGAGAGGTTGGATATGTTCCTACACACAGTGTGAATATGGTGAATGAATGTGGACACCTTCTAACACTAAGTAGGATCACAGCAACAAAAACAAAGGAATTTGGAGAGGCTGAAAGCAATAGCACATAACCTAGTCCACAGACTACAATCCATAGCCCACAGCCCAAAAGCCAAACCACACAGTCCACAAACCATCGCCCACGGTCCACAGCCCACAAACCATCGCCCACGGTCTACAAACCATCACCCACAGCCCACAAACCATCGCCCACGGTCCACAAACCATCACCCACAGCCCACAAACCATCACCCACAGCCCACAAACCATCGCCCACGGTCCACAGCCCACAAACCATCGGCCACAGCCCACAAACCATCGCCCACGGTCCACAGCCCACAAACCATCGCCCACAGTCCACAAACCATCGCCCCGCGGTCCACAGCCCACAAACCATCGCCCGCGGTCCACAGCCCACAAACCATCGCCCGCGGTCCACAGCCCACAAACCATCGCCCGCGGTCCACAGCCCCACAAACCATCGCCCGCGGTCCACAGCCCACAAACCATCGCCCGCGGTCCACAGCCCACAAACCATCGCCCGCGGTCCACAGCCCACAAACCATCGCCCGCGGTCCACAGCCCACAAACCATCGCCCGCGGTCCACAGCCCACAAACCATCGCCCGCGGTCCACAGCCCACAAACCATCGCCCGCGGTCCACAGCCCACAAACCATCGCCCGCGGTCCACAGCCCACAAACCATCGCCCGCGGTCCACAGCCACAAACCATCGCCCGCGGTCCACAGCCCACAGTTCACAGCCCATAGTCCAGCTGCATCCACCAGCTGGCCGGACTACCAAACAAAGCCAGGAACCGGGTTTGATCAGCTCTATTGTAAAGCGGAAGCAATGTCCAGGATCAGGCCCTCCTATCCCTCTTGTATTGAACTGTATTGTTGCTGTATTGTCTCCGTTATATTGTAAAGCGCTGAGCAAACTGTTGGCGCCATAAATCCTGTATAATAATAATAATAATAAAAAACAAATTAAGTGACAGTGTAAAAATAAGAAAAAATAATTAAACAAAAAAATTAAGTGACGGTGTAAAAATAAAAAATAAATAAATAGGTGACAGTAAGAAAAAAATTTTTTAAAAAAATTGCTGTCACAGGGAATGTTTGCCGCAAAATCTGCAACACTTGTCATTTTATTCTCTAGGGGCTTCGGATTTACAAATATATAACATTTACGGGGCTCTGAGTAGTTTTTGTAGGAGAAATGACCCCTGTGGGTGGGAGGACCAGCAGAGGGAAGCTGAGTATGTGCAGCTGCTTGAGCAGCCATTGAAGTTGTTTCTCAGCCATATCACAGGCTTTTCCTTTGACAAATCCCCCCCAAAAAAATCTCCCACCACAGGAAGTGTCCCTGTACACCCAATCCCTTGTACACTGCCTCCTATACACAGCAATGGGTCACCTGTCTGAGGCTGAAGGCAGCAGGAGGCAGCCTGGACGACATCCTTCGCAGCACTCTGTCCGGGACACCCCTCCTCCTTCACACACCTGTCCTTTCCCTTGTTATTTCAAACTGTCCTCAAGTTGGAAGCCATTTTGTCTGAGACCTTCCCATAGACTCAGTTCATGTTGGTCTTCAGAAACATGGCCGCCAAAACATCGATGCCTCTATAGCACGCGGTCGCCATTTTTCTGGAGAGTAGACTTGGTACAAAATACCAGAAAATCACAGGCAAAATGGCTCCTCAGCTGAAGACAGCTTCTAGAGGCTGGCGGCGTTAGGGTTGGGAGTGTTCCCAGCCGTGAGCGCCCCCCTCTGCTGGTCGGAGGTGTTCATTACACGTATTGATAGTAATGCCTAATTAGCGCACGTTGCTGCACAGGGTGTTTGTTCATTGTGCTGTAATTATACAAAGTGGCCGCTAGATGGAGACATTGTACCACCTATCACTACTGCACAGGTTTGGTTTTTATTTTTTTGGGGGGGCTGCATTAGTAATTGGGGCATCCCGCTTTTGATAGTCTTTTTAGGTGTTTTGTCTGACATTTTTTTAGCATTTTTGTACAGCGTTTTTAAAGTGTTTTTAAGCTTTTGCGTTTTTTTTAATAGCCGATAGAAGAAAAAAATCAGTTTCACCATTTTTTTCTATGTTTATCTGCTTTTTTTTAGCTTTTCATCAGCTTTTACATTAAAGTTAGGGCTTAATTATTAATTAATTTCATTTTTTTATTATAATTATTATTCTTTTAAAATAAATAAATCATAACACTATTATTATGAATTAATGTATGTTTGCATTATTTTTGGTGGGGGGGTTAAGGATTAGGTAAAGTTTAGAGTTATTATTATTATATTATTATTTATTATTATTATTATTATTTTTATACATGATTTATATAGCGCCAACAGCTTACTCAGCGCTTTACAGGTTAGGGTTAAGGGTTAGAGTTAGAGGTTGGGTATAGGGTTATGGGGTAAATTTATTTATTTAATTTAAAACATTTTTAGGGTTTAGGATTAGGGTATTAATTTATTTAATGTATTTTATTTATGGTCAGGGTTATGGGTTAATTTATTTTGTTTATTTTTGGTCAGGGTTAGAGGATCATTTATTTATTTATTTATTTTTGATCAGGGCTAGGGGTTCATTTATTTATTTATTAGTAGGGTTAGGGGTTCATTTATTTTATTTTTTTTGATCAGGGCTAGGGGTTCATTTATTTATTTATTAGTAGGGTTAGGGGTTCATTTATTTTATTTATTTATTTTTTTTGGTCAGGGTTACGGGGGTAATGTATTGTATTTACTTATTTTTGATTAGGGTTAGGGGGGTAATTTGCTTTGTTTATTTATTTATTATCAGGGTTAGGGGTTCATTTAATTTATTTATTTATTTTTGGTCAGGGTTAGGGGGCAATTTGATTGATTGATTGATTTATTATCAGGGTTAGGGGTTCATTTATTGTTTTTATTTATTTTTGGTCAGGGTTAGGGGGTAATTTATTTGATTTACTTTCTTTTGATTAGGGTTAGGGGGTAATTTGATTGATTGATTGATTGATTGATTGATTATCAGGGTTAGGGTTAATTTGTTTTATTTATTTATTTTTGGTAAAGTTTAGGGGTTTATTTATTTTATTTATTTATTTTTGATCAGGGTTAGGAGTTCATTTATTTTATGTATTTAATTTTTGGTCAGGGTTAGGGGTTTATTTTTATTATTTATTTACTTTTGAAGGGTTTGGGGGGTAATTTGTTTTTTTTTATTTATTTATTATTTATATCAGAGTTTGGGGTTTATTTTATTTATTTACTTATTTTTGATCAGGGTTAGGATTTTATTTATTTATTTATTTATTTATTTATTTATTGTCAGGGTTAGGGGGGGTAATTTATTTTATTTACTTATTTTTGATCAGGGTTGGGGGGGGAGGGGGTAATTAATTTGATTTTTATTTTTTTTGCTCAGGGTTATGGGTTAATTTATTTTGTTTATTTTTGGTCAGGGCTAGAGGATCATTTATTTATTTATTTATTTTTGATCAGGGCTAGGGGTTCATTTATTTATTTATTAGTAGGGTTAGGGGTTCATTTATTTTATTTATTTATTTTTGGCAGGGTTACGGGGGGTAATGTATTGTATTTACTTATTTTTTGATTAGGGTTAGGGGGTAATTTGCTTTGTTTTATTTATTTATTATCAGGGTTAGGGGTTCATTTAATTTATTTATTTATTTTTGGTCAGGGTTAGGGGGCAATTTGATTGATTGATTGATTTATTATCAGGGTTTAGGGGTTCATTTATTGTTTTTATTTATTTTTGGTCAGGGTTAGGGGGTAATTTATTTGATTTACTTTCTTTTGATTAGGGTTAGGGGGTAATTTGATTGATTGATTGATTGATTGATTGATTATCAGGGTTAGGGGTTAATTTGTTTTATTTATTTATTTTTGGTAAAGATTAGGGGTTTATTTATTTTATTTATTTATTTTTGATCAGGGTTAGGAGTTCATTTATTTTATGTATTTAATTTTGGTCAGGGTTAGGGGTTTATTTTTATTATTTATTTACTTTTGAACAGGGTTTGGGGGTAATTTGTTTTTTTTATTTATTTATTTATTTATTTATTTATATCAGAGTTTGGGGTTTATTTTATTTATTTATTTATTTTTGATCAGGGTTAGGATTTTATTTATTTATTTATTTATTTATTTATTTATTGTCAGGGTTAGGGGGTAATTTATTTTATTTACTTATTTTTGATCAGGGTTGGGGGGGGAGGGGGTAATTAATTTGATTTATTTATGTTTGCTCAGGGTTATGGGTTAATTTATTTTGTTTATTTTTGGTCAGGGCTAGAGGATCATTTATTTATTTATTTATTTTTGATCAGGGCTAGGGGTTCATTTATTTATTTATTAGTAGGGTTAGGGGTTCATTTATTTTATTTATTTATTTTTGGTCAGGGTTACGGGGGTAATGTATTGTATTTACTTATTTTTGATTAGGGTTAGGGGGTAATTTGCTTTGTTTATTTATTTATTATCAGGGTTAGGGGTTCATTTAATTTATTTATTTATTTTTGGTCAGGGTTAGGGGGCAATTTGATTGATTGATTGATTGATTTATTATCAGGGTTAGGGGTTCATTTATTGTTTTTATTTATTTTTGGTCAGGGTTAGGGGGTAATTTATTTGATTTACTTTCTTTTGATTAGGGTTAGGGGGTAATTTGATTGATTGATTGATTATCAGGGTTAGGGGTTAATTTGTTTTATTTATTTATTTTTGGTAAAGATTAGGGGTTTATTTATTTATTTTTGATCAGGGTTAGGAGTTTCATTTATTTTATGTATTTAATTTTGGTCAGGGTTAGGGGTTTATTTTTATTATTTATTTACTTTTGAACAGGGTTTGGGGGTAATTTGTTTTTTTTTTATTTATTTATTTATATCAGAGTTTGGGGTTTATTTTATTTATTTATTTATTTATTTTTTGATCAGGGTTAGGATTTTATTTATTTATTTATTTATTTATTGTCAGGGTTAGGGGGGGGTAATTTATTTTATTTACTTATTTTTGATCAGGGTTGGGGGGGGGGGAGGGGGTAATTAATTTGATTTATTTATTTTTGCTCAGGGTTAGGGGTTAATTTATTTGATTTATTTATTTTTGATCAGGTTTCGGGGTTAATTTATTTGATTTATTTATTATTACTATTCATTTATTTATTTTGGTTAGGGTTAAGTGATACTAGTCTTTGTTTTTTTGCCATTGCCATGCCTAAACTTCAGCTTCACCCACTTGACCTCTAAAAGGTTCTAATCCCTTCATGTCCGGGGCATTTGCTTCTCAGCACTGCGCTACTTTCACTGGCAATTGCGCGGTCATGGGACACCGTACCCAAATGAAATGTTTATCATTTTTCACACAAATAGAGCTTTGTTTTATTTGTAGTATTTGGTTGCCACTGTTTTTTTGTTATATAGTTTGTTTATTATATAAATGAACAAATACCAAAAATTAAAAAAATATACATTTTCCACTTTCTGTTATAAAACATATCTGATCAAATGTATTCCTAAATTTAGGTCAAAATGTTTTTTGCTAGATGTCTTTAGTAAGGTAAAAAATTAAGCTGCGTTTTTGAAGACACTAAACTATTGGGGACACTAGCATAGTTCTGATTGTGCTCAAGATACTGATCTGTGCAGACACTGTGCTAATAATGGTGGTGATCAGCGACTTATAGTGTGGCGGGCGATCTGGTGCTGGGAGGGGCACTTGCTGACTGACACTGCGGTCGCTAGTGACATTTATATACGGTGATCAGTACTGTACACGGACACTAATGACACTGGCTGGGTGACGGAGCAATCAAAGGGTTAACTGTGGAGGGAAATCAAGGGGTTAAATGTGCCTAACAAGTGTATATGTGCTGCTTGTACTCTCACAGAATCTGGCCGACTTCTCTCACTGAACGAAAAAGAGCTCAGGGAGGAAGAAACCAGGCAGATCCTGTGCATTCTGTTTACAAAACACACACTGATCTGTGCTGTGATTGGCCACAGCCGATCAGCAGGTCTACAGCCAAAATCATTGGCTGTAACCTGCTGACAGATTCGTGCCCTGGCCAATCCCAGCGCAGAGCAGCAGGAACTGTAAGGAAACCAGGTGTTTATGATCCGCCAGGCGGAGCCTTCCGGCTGCCAACTGATAGACCAACCCAGAGCGTGGGGTCTAAGCCCGGGCTGTGCCTTCACCAGGGCCCCTGATGGTGGGGATGGACTTGAAACAGTCCCGGGCCAGGTCACGACCTCTGGGCGGGCCCACCAGCGGCTGGGAAGGCCTCCGGGGATGCGTGTAGGTACCGGGAGAGCCAGATATGAGGCGGATGACGGCCCCAGCAGGGTGGCACGGATAGTGGTTCCGTGGGGGGTAAGCGGGGTACCAAATCAGCGGGCAAGGAGTAGTCAGGTCACATGCAGGGTCAGCCAGGTAAA